GAGAGAGAGAGAGAGAGAGAGAGAGAGAGAGAGAGAGAGAGAGAGAGAGAGAGAGAGAGAGAGATTTCTGAAAGCCACTGCATTAAAATTTAAAGAAACTAAATTAAACCAAATAAACAAAAGTCAGCCTCAAATTTATCCTAAACTGTTAGAAGGCACTTTCCATAACAAATTCCCAGTGAGTACATGTGATTTTAACATGGTATGTCAGTTAAGTATTTTAAAATGTATTGTGTGGTGGCTGCAACATATAATTGATTAAATTTTATTTACTTTTATTTTAGTTCAAAACCCAATGAATACTGGTTAGCCAAGGGATACACAGTATGAAGATAGTTTGATCCAATTAATTTAATCATTTTTGGATTACTACTGATAGTGCTACCACGTCAACTACATACTGACATGACACAATACTTTTACATTCAACTTCATAAAACATAAATGAATTAAACGTGATAAATATAGTTGGGAATGACGTTTTGCACAATGGTGTTTCCTTTTTTAACATTATTTATCCATGGAGAGGAATTTTGGTTGCGAACAGAATTATGGACTATTTAAATCAGCTTTAAAAGAACCCAACAAAAAGACTTCCAATTTAATTAGTGTAGTCATGAAAGGATTGCAGACAGCAAGAATCAGAAATGGGGTGAGGAGAGAGAAAATGGGCGGACACTTGTTGACATTTCTAAGAGTTGGTATAATCAAAGGCTTAATGCCTGTGATCTGTTACTGGCTCTGTATCTAAATAAGAAGTCTGATAGCATGGAAGCTATCTGCRATGGATGGTTGAAGTCAAACACATGAAAGCAATTAAAATGTTTTCTCAAAGAGACTGTATTAAAAAAGTACAGTGTATGTTTATGGACTAAAWGGTTTGGTTGACATCTTGTAGAAAGACGATCAAAATGAAAATCTAAGCTGACCAGACATATCATTACATACTTCACACAGGTTTTCTTTGAAAACATATTTTTTCTAGTACACATGCAGACATTTGTACTGTAACTCCAATTACTAAAATATTGATAGTGGCTTAAAACAAGATTTTTGCTTCAATCAGCCAAATGTTACAAAATTACTGTATTACCCACTTTTTACATATTATT